GAAACGTCAGCTTTCCTGCTCCTCTGATGCTGCTTGGCCTGCTGTGTACATCCAGCTCTACACCTTGTTATCTCTGCTCAAGAGTAATTAAGGATGGGCAACAAAACTGAATTCCTCCACAAAAATGCCTTCACACTAACCATGTATACAAGCACAGAAGTTGTTCAAATAACACTAAATTGCTTCTTACAATATATAATAAAGCCCCTCAATAGTAGGGCAACAAAAACAAATTGCTCAAAACTCTGAGAACTCCTCTCCACTGAAATCTTTAGTAAAATGCAAACAATTTAGACAATCAGATAAGAAACCAGAGCACACCACAAAAATTAGCAGCTCCTCCTATCCAACAGGCGACATCCTCTTTAACATTGTACTGACTACGAGGAACAACATTCAGGGAGCATATACAGCCACAGATTAGTACAACATGAGGAGCAATAACTACAATACGTATTCTGCCCCTCTCAAAACCACCGCAATATCTGGACTGTTATTGTTTCTTTACAAAACACAATGCAGAATGTTAAGTATATGTAAATGAGCTCTGAGTTCCCTGCGGTTTGAGATTACTGGTCGTTTACAATTCTGTCTAGTACACGTTTACTTTGCATCAGCACTCTCTTTCTGTGTTTAAACTGTCAGGTGGACGCTTATACAGAATCATAATCCCTACAGTTTGGAAGCAGGCCATTCAGCCCATTGATTCCACACTGACCCCTCTGAAGAGCATCCCACCCAGACCCATCCCCCTACTCCATCCCTGTAGCCCTGTATTTCCCATGGCTAACCCACCTAGCCGACATATCCCTGGACACTATGGGCAATTTAGCATGGCCAGTCCACCCTAACCTGCACATCTGTTCACATCAGGGCAGTGAGTAATGTAGGTCTGTTCAGTTATCAGACTAAGCCGTTGCTTCAATGTCTGTAAATAGTGTCCAACATGGGTAAGAAAAGATATTTGGTTTTTGCACCTGCAGGGCATGTCAAATTCCAATGTTTGTTTTTTTTTTCTCATATGCAAAGACTGTATGGAAGTGCTTTAGTTGTGTGTATGTACATAAAGATTTTTTTTATGAATAAAATATATTTTTGCAATGAAAAGATCCAGAGTCAGACACAGCCCAAGTGGGTATGTTGTTCAGGCAATTTGGAGGCAGTGTGGGAATTCAGTGCGGAGGGAAAGAGGTGTTCTTTGCATTTTTTTTATCAGTCTTACAGGTTTTTTTGACAGGATAAATTGAAGCCAAGGAACAGGGGTCCAGCACATAACAGTAACATCACAAGGAAATGGTACATTCAGTGATAGCTACTAATTGGCTATCTATTACAGGTTACTTTCAGATTGAGGGTAAGTAGGAGAAATATTGATAGGCCACGAATAAAAAAAAACAAATTTTTAAAAATCAAATTAAGAACCAAGTAATTAAAAGAGAGATGCTAGGCCAAGATGATGTGTTGCACCTGCATTGTGGTTCATTTGTGACTACATATGCAGCAAGTGTTGGTTACTTGAGGAACTCCAGCTCAGATTTGATGAGCTAGAGTGTGAGCTTTGAGCACTGCAAGACATCAGGGAGGGGGAGAGTTACCTGCATGCTGCATTTCAGGAGGCAGTCACACCACTTAGATTACCTACCTCGAATTCGATCAGGGGCAGGAGGTTTGTGACTATGAGTGAGGCAGGCAGAGTGATCCAGGAGTAAGTGTGAATGAACCTCAGCCCTTGAGTTTGTCTAAAAGGTTTGAGATTCTTACTGTGTGTGGGTGATTGTGTGGGCTGTCAGAGGATGACCATAAGAAATACAGGGAGCCACGAGAGGGGTGAGAACAGGGAAATGTATTTGTTATGAGGATGCTATAGTCAGGGGAATAGACAGTGTTCTCTAAGGCCAGGATCAAGGGTCCTGAAGGCTATATTGCCTGCCTGGTGCATGTGTTCGGGATATCTCACCTGGGCTGCAGAAGTACTTGGAGTGGAAAGGGAAAGATCTAGTTATCATGGTCCATGTAGGTACCAATGATACAGGTAGAAAGAGGAAAGAGATTCCGCTGAGGAAATATGAGCAGCTAGGGGCTAAATTACAAAGCAAAAACAAAAAAGGTAATAATCTCTGGATTACTAGGATCGGTGCTGGGTCCACTGCTTTTCATCATTTATATGAATGATTGCAGTCAATGCAAGGACTGGTAGAGTTGCAGATAATGAGAAGGATTGTCAGAGGTTACAGCAGGATATAGATCAGTTGGAAGCATGGGCACAAAAATGGCAGATGGAGTTTAATCTGGACAAATGTGAGGTGATGCATTTTGGAAGGTCAAGTACAGGTGGGAATTATACAGCGAATGGCAGAACCTTTAGGAGTATTGATACACAGAGGGATCTGGGTATGTAGGTCCACAGATCACTGAAGGTGGCAGTGCAGACAGAAAAGTTTGTAAAAAAGGCCTATGGCATGCTTGCCTTCACTGGAAAGGGCATTGAGTATAAGGATAGAGAAGTTATGCTGCAGCTTTGTAGAACTTTAGTTAGGCCACATTTGGAATTTTGTGTACAGTTCTGGTCATCACACTACCAGAAGGATGTGGATGCTTTGGAGAGGGTACAGAAAAGGTTTACCAGGATGTTGCCTGGTATGGGGGATTTTAGCTATGTACAAAGTTTGGATAGACTGGGTTTGTTTTCACTGGAACGCAGGATGTTAAGGGCGACCTGATAGAAGTTTATAAGATTGTGAATGGCATGGATAGAGTGGAAAGTATGAGGCTTTTTCCTGGGGTGGAGGAGTCAATTACAAGGGGACACAGGTTCAAGGTGTGAGGGGGTAAGTTTAAAAGAGATGCGTGAGGCACATTTTTCACACAAAGGGTGGTGAGTGCCTGGAACGCGCTGCCAGAGGAGGTGGTGGAAGCAGACACAATAGCAACATTCAAGAAACACCTGGACAAATACATGAATAGGAAGGGAATAGAGGGATACAGATCCTGTAAGTGAAGACAGTTTTAATATGGAAGGGTGAGATGTGTCAGCGTAGGCTTGGAGGGCCGAAGGGCCTGTTCCTGTGCTGTATTGTTCTTTGTTCGCTTTGTTCTATTTTGATGTGAACATTAGTGGTATGGTTAATAAGTTTGCAGCTGACACCAAAATTGGAGGTGTAGTGGACAGCAAAGGGGGTTACCTCGGAATACAACAGGACATTGAACAGATGGGCCAATGGGCTGAGGAGTGGCAGGTGGAGTTTAATTTAGATAAATGCGAGGTCCTGGGGAACGTTGCTGAACAAAGAGACTTCGGAGTGCAGGTTCATTGTTTTTGAAAGTCGAGTCCCAGGTAGACAGGATAGTGAAGAAGGCATTTGGTATGCTTGTCTTTATTGGTCAGTGCATTGGGTATAGGAGTATGGAAGTGATGTTGTGACTGTACAGACACTGGTTAGGCCACTTTTGGAATACTATGTGCAGTTCTGGTCTCCCTGCTATAGGAAGGAGGTTGTGAAACTTGAAAGCATTCAGAAAAGTTTCACAAGGAAGTTGCCAGGGTTGGAGGGTTTGAGCTATAGGGAGAGGCTAAATAGCCTGGGGTTATTTTCCCTGGAGCATTGGAGGCTGAGGGGTGACCTTATAGAGGTTTATAAAGTTAGGTGGAGCATGGAAAAGGTGATTAGCCAAGGTCTTTTCCCTGGGGTGGGGGAGTCCAAGACTAGATGGCTTGGGTTTAAGTGAGAGGGGAAAGATTTAAAAGGGACCTAAGGGGCAACTTTTTCAGGCAGAGGGTGGTGCGTGTATGGATTTAGCTGCAGAGGAAGTGATGGAGGCTGATACAATTGCAACATTTAAGGGGCATCTGGATGGGTATATGAATAGGAAGGATTTAGAGGGACATGGGCCAAATGCTGATAAATGGGACCAAATTAATTTCGGATATCTGGTCTGCATGGACGAGTTGGACTGAAGGGTCTGTTTCCATGCTGTACATCTCTAAGACTCCATGACTACTACCTGAGACACAAGCAAATTAGCACAGGTTCAACAAGATTAAAGAAGTAAACATGTGGCTCAAAGATTGATGTCAGAGAAATGGGTTTGAATTCATGGCACAATGAATTCACCAGCACTGGGAATGGAGGGAGCTGTTCCGAATCATGCTGGGACCAGTGTCCTGGTGAATTGCATCACTAGGGCTGTGGATTGGACTTTAAACTAAATAGTTGGGGGGGTGGGGGGGGGGGGGGGTGGTTAGATTTGATTGCATGGATAATTATGGAAAAAGTTATAGGTGGGAAGGGCTCAGCAAAGGTTAGCGTTCCAAGAACATGTAATAGGACAGGGGAAGAGTCATGAATCTAACTCAGGTACAGAAGAAAAGTGGGCAACTGTGAGAAGGGGGCCAGTTAACACAGGAATGAGGGTGTCATACTTAAATGCACACAGTATGTGGAACAAGGTAAATTAGTTTGTAGCACAGATTGAAATCGGCAGGTACGATGCTGTGGGTATCACAGAAATATGGCTGCAAGGGGATCAGGGCTGGGGACTAAATATCCAAGGGTACACGTCTATTGAAAGGACAGGCAGATGGGCAGAGGGGCTGGGGTTGTCTTGTTGGTTAGAAATTAAATTAAATAAATAGCATGAAGTGATATCGACTCAGAAGGCATAGAGTCTGTGTCGGCAGAGTTGAGGAACCACAAAGGAAAAAAAAACCTGATGGGACTTGTGTACAGGCCCTCAGCAGTAGTCAGGGTATGGGTAAGAAAATAAATCAGGAAATAGAAAAGGCAGGTGAGAAAGGCACTATTATCTTGGGAGACTTCCATATTCAGGTGGATTAAGAAAATCAGGTTGGAATTCAAGAAAAGGGACTTGTGGAATGTATACAAGATGGTTTTATTTGGAGCAGTTTGTGGTAGACCCCACTAGGGAACAGGCAATTCTGGATTTGGAGATGTGCAATGATACAGACTTGAAAAGGAAGCTGAAGGTAAAGAAACCCCTCAGGGGCAAAAGATCATAATTTGATAGAATTCACCCTGCAGTTTGAGAAGGAGAGCTGGAATCAGATGTAACATACATTACAATTGAGAAAAGGCAACTGCAAAGACATGAGGAATGAGCTGGCCAGATTTGATTGGAAGGGGAGCTGAGCAGGGAAGACGGTGGAGCTGTAATGACAGGAGATTCTGGAGATAATTTGGGAGGCACAGCAGAAATTCATTCCAAGGAAGAAGAAACATATTAAGGGGAGGATGAGACAACCATGGCTGACAGGGGACATCAGAGACAGGATAAAAGCAAAATAAAAAGCAGACAATGTGG